AAATACGACATTTTCAAAAAACAAGATGGCTGCCAGTCGGCCATCTTTGATCCAATTGTGAAATAAATCATCATGGACATGCATCCTAACATGTATAATCTATGTACCAAGTTTGAATGAAAACTGACAAAGCATGTCCAAAATACAACATTTTCAAAAAACAAGATGGCTGCCAGTCGGCCATTTTGAATCGAATCGCTAAACCACTGCATGTGCATATGTCCCACATAAAGTACTAGGCACATGCAAATAATGAACGGAATCGGTCCAAGGGATTCTGAGATATGACTCCGGACGGACGCACGGACGCACAGACGCACGGACGCACGGACACACGGACGGACGGGGACTAATAAACTTGGGTGGTAAATAATCTACATAATTACAACTGCCTAACCATGGAGTTACAGAAATAAACACACGACACGATCAATGGGTCACATGAACCAGAGTGGTATAAATATGGTAATTTGCGTCTATTGAACCTGTCATACATTTACCAGCTAATATCATCCATGACCTCCGCCAAGGAGATTATGTTGTTGGTAGTGTTGTTTGTCATAATGTTATAGATCGTCTCTCATAACATTTCTAGGAGCGTTTGCCCTTGATATAAGGATGGACTCTCAGGAGGAGTTGTTCCTAATACGACCAATCGATTAGATTCAGATATAGTTGCCATGGAAAACATTTTGAAATGTTCATTTATAACTAGAACAATTATGTACTGATTTTCATGAAATTGTCAGGCGAGGCTACCTTTGATGCAAAAGCCAAATTAATTTTGTGGATATGTGGATCATGTTGTCATAGGAATAACTTTTTTGGGAATGACTTTTCATTTATAAATCAAAAAGGTATTGATTGATTATCCAATATGTTTGATTCCTTGAGTGAACAAATATGTAACAATGAATTTAACGATGGATTACTAACCTTCTTTTGTTTTTGCAGGACGTATGTCATCCCTTTCTAAGGCGGAATTAAGTTCTTCATTTCTAGTCTCCAATTCACACATTTTCCTGCGCATGACTGTTGCCTCTTGTTCAACCATCATAAGCTGCAGTCTGAGCTCTGCTTCTTTCTCGCTGATATCACCAGCTTCGCCCTCTTTCTTGGGATTTTCCAGCGTCCCGAAATGCATTTTGTACTTCTCAAGCTCGAAGTCGACACGTTCCCTTTCTTGTTCAATCTCTCCCAGTTTTCGTCGCATCACAGCTGACTCCTCTTCTGTGAGTTGTAACTGATGTTGAACGTCACGCTCTCTCTCGATGGTCTCCTGTAACTCGGACATCAGAGACGAAACATCATATTCAGCGCCGACATCTGGCCCTTCTTTAAGTTTCTTCATCTAGAAGAAAAAAAAAAACTATACTTAGTATAACGAAGCGCCACTACGGGTAACTTCTCGTCAGTGTTATCATGACAGCATGACTGTCTTTCTGTATCCACGGTAACGTGGTTTGGCGATGTCCCACTGCAGCGCTTGCAGAAACGACAGTCACTTATATCCGAGCAATTACGCAGAAACAGGGTCATCGTCACATGACTTATGAATCTCTTAATAATGTTAGTGTAATTTAGTACACATATATATGCAGGGTGCTGCGTAAACAAATTATGAGTCCTAGCAGCACCATGTTGTCACATTCCAAAACATGAAACCTCGAGTTTTTTTCAATAAAATCTCTCATCTTCTAAATAGTAGTACAGACACGCACACTAACGCCATGCAAGCTACATTCGTAATGAAACAAACAAAAAATGTAACGGACATGCAAAGAAACATAAAGAAACAATGGTATGGCCCACGAGCTGCAAGAAAACATTGGTGCATATTGGTGCTAGCCAGTACGCCCTCTAACATGGCTGATTTGGAATCCCCAAATTTAAGTTGAGTCAGCTTGTTGAGGTCGGTCTTGAAGTAACAAATAAAATTGTATGCGACTCTATAGGTCACTTGAGGCCTAAAAATAAATGCTGTGGCCCGTTGATGTTCTTTGTTTTTACACCAATTTGGTTAAAATATAAATTTAGTTTTTAAATTTACCAAAGTAGTAATTCCATAACTAAGATGTGAGATAGCAAGATGTTTTTTTTTAAATATTACTATATCAATATACAATTTTCTCACAACCAAATAGTACGTCACTGCAAATCCGTAGAGGGCACACTGGTGATGGCCAATTAACAACTCCCCCTCCCCCAAAGTCACGTCGATGCGCTTCTGTGATGTGACAAGTGTAGAAACGTCTCCTATATTGTTTTAATCTGTGGTCGTCCGACAGTAAAAATATAGTATTTTTTCAAAGAACTGTGATCTCGCAACCAAGCAAACATCACTTATATCCACTACGTCATTTTGACGTCACAGAAGCTTTCGTCGCTTGAGGGCCAATATAATTGAAAGGCGTATAGCAGATCGACATATTCTAGGAAGACGTTTTCTTATTCTTCTTCTTCTTCTTCTTCAGAGAGACTGTCTTTATTTTGAGTCCTAGATGGAACATGCATGATTAGATGTGACGTCACAAACATCAAATATCTAATCTTCCAACTATCGGCCATTGCAGCTAAACGGAGAGCATTCAAGATTGCAATCCACAGTTTGAGGGCGGTGCAGTGCTCGATCGTGCATTTACTTATAATGTATAATGTAATTAAGTTTGAAATTAACACAGCAGATCAGTACTGAAATGTATTTAGTTTGCGCATGCTCAAACACGTAATCAATATGTGCAATGTCATAAAAAGTGGACGAAAACACACAAGTCATGCGCAGGTACCTTCCATCGTCTCTCTTCATTCAGTTCATCTTCCTCGATTTGACCTAGTTTCCGTTTCAGGAGTTCAACCTTTAGAAAATAGAAAATTAACCATATAATGGATGAAAACAGGAAAAAGAGTTTACAGAAAATAGAGTAGCAAAGTGCTTAAGCTTGTATCCACTTGACAGGCGTTGAATCTACCGTGACTGACAAAGAAAAAATAGTTTAGTCATGTGTAGAATATAAAGATGAGGATGGTCGTGTATGAGTCAATGTCATGGAAACGGCTGTCGAACTGTGTTTCCTTTTCTGAAAGCTGGAAATTCCTTGGAATTCGTCCTTGTGGTAATAACATGTCCAATGCACCTTTAGT